TTCTATGATTCTGCGATTGTATAAACTGGGTAGAGTTTCCCCTCTCCATACGTGCCCCTGTATTGTGGCATCAGCACTTTGGCTTTTTCCCAAATATAGCTGGGGGCCAGCAGCAGTCAGTTGCAACCATTCACAAGTGGTGATCTTCGACCAAGTTGTGTAGGCAAAAGCCATAGAATAGATGCAGTTTGATTTGCATTCCGTCTTAACATTTCATCTGTAACAGATTCATTTTGAGACAACCATTTTTTGTTTGTCTCACAGAACTTCTGTTTTTCCTGATGGATTGTATTGATTTTATTTAAGTTATGCAAACTTTTACCAGAAGGGAAGCGGGGGTTAAAACAGAGAAGACACTAAAATGTTTTGCATCTTTCAGTTTTTGTTTTTTGTTTTTTCTTTAAAGAGTATATTCCTTGTGAAACCTCAGTATTTTTTTCTTTAGGAGTCTGGCGCCACTTTGACTATGCAGGGTTTGAGGAAGGCATTGGCACCTTGGTGGCAGTGCTTTTCAATTACACCGTGCATTGACACACTTTATCTTAGACTGTTAAAAACAGTTGGGTGTTCTGGGAGATAAATTCAGCTCCACTCTTCTGCCTGCTGCAGCTGCCTGACAGGAGGGTATAAAGGTGTCCCTCTGCTCTTGATCGTACTGCTGGAGAAGGTCTGGATCCATTGGTAGAACAGGTGGGCAAAGAGGAGAATGTGTCTTTTAAAGATGACTGCTGTACTGAAGCCTTAACAGTCGTAATGTTCGATTCTCTTTCACAAAGTGTGGTTTTAAATGGTGAAAGAAGGGATAAATATGACTTCTGTTCAGCAGAGGAAAGCATTAAGTACTTAAATATAAAATTAAGAGCATGGTCAACAGGAGGAACATAGTCAACACTACCATCTGGAATGCAGGGTGGTTATACAGGAATATATGAAAGGGAAACAAGTACTTTTTTGTGATTTTGGGAGCTTAGACTTGACAGGAACAGATGTTATGATAGCACTGGGGTTTTAGATGAGTTCTCAGTTTTGGGGAAGGCTGGCAGGTGATTCTCCTCTGGGGAAATGAAACACCTCAGAAAGAGCTGTCCCACTCCCTGTCAGGTGTCAGGATCAATTAGTACAGCAGCAAACTCGAGGACAAAATAGAATCTAAAATCCTAGTATCTAGGATTCTTCTTGTACATGTCTGATTTGAAAATCATGGACTGATGATGATAAAATGGAATAAATGCTGTATTTCCTTGCAAGTGACAGGCACAGGGTGCATCCAGAGAAGTAACTGCCAGTCTTGGTTTGCGATAAACCAAGGGAGAGATTTGACCATGTTTTGGTTTTGGAGGAAAGTAATCTTTGCTAGAGGACAATATATCATAGCAGACCCAACAGCCAGAGGGAGGCGAGACTGCTGCTGCTCCATGTCCAGGCACTAGTGAGTCTGAAGCTGTATTCAGCTGGCACACGCACACAAAGCACACATATCCACTCCATATATATGTACGTGTAGATGGCTGGCCATACAGATCCCAGGCAGACACTCGGGCCCACAAGAACACTGACAGAGTAGAAAGTCCTCAACCAGGAAAGAGTCCGAAAGGAATTTAATAAGAAGACAAGAGACTATGCTGACCAGGTGCAGGGCACAGCCAGATAAGTGTACTGACCAGCAAGCTATTGACCAGTGTCTGGCCCTTTTCGTCCCCTTACACCTCTATTTTCCCCCTCTTCTTCCTCCCCACATCACCTAAACCCTTCCCTTGCCCACCTTTGGTTTCTTACGCAAAATGTCTCACAGCAAGTCCTGTATGATTCCAAATTGTTCTTCCCCTGCACACCGTATGTCCCACCTCTAGGCAGTGACCCCCTTGGTCTGAAAGGTGATCTGGAGAGCTGCTTCTGGTGACTGGGGTGATGAGTTCCATGCCTGAACACGGGTTGAGGCTGTGCTGGGACAGCCCTGGGAGGGGCCCAGACAAGATGCTGGTTCCTTTGGAGTCCTTGATTTGGGATCCTGCCTGACACTGTGCTCCTCTGGGCTTGGAGAGATGAGCCTGTGATGGGCTGGTGTCTTCTGTGATAGGAGTAGACGGGCCGGGTATATGTGGGCTCCCCCTCCTGCCATTGTCCCCCCCGAGCTTTTTGTGGGTGTGCAGCTGAGCTTTGTCACGTAACCTCACAACCTGAACGTGGGCTGCGGTTTCTGACGGGATCCTGTGGGCACTGTGGCAGCACGGAGGAGGCAGGATGCTTTTTATAAAGATGACCTAAAGGCGTAATTCAAGCATACTGGCGTGAAGCACGTGGCTCTGCCATAGTACTGTCCGGAGGCTCGTGGTCTGTTGCCTTCCCTGTCAATGTCTTTTTCTTCTTTCCTTCCCTTCAGATCACGACGGTTATCTTGGGAGAGCAGGCTCCAACGGGAGCAAGAATGCTCAGGATGCCCAACTGCCTGCTAAAACTGATCAGGGTGGTACAGAGCCACAAGCTCAGGGCTCTGTTTATCCTCACCTTTAAGTTCATGTCCTTTGCCTCCATCGTGTTGTACTGGAGAATCACAGAGGACATTAAGAGCAGGGGCCAGCTCTACAGCTTGCCTGTTGAAATCCACTGTGCTCACTCTGTGCCTTCTCCTCCCCCTGCCATTGCTGGGGACCCCCCTCCTTCCCCAGGGAACGTGTTTTTTGTGGAGACCTCGGAGCGAACTGACCCAAGTTACCTGTTCACGTGCTCTGTGGAGTCAGCAGCCCGGACGCACCCTGGGACACGGGTCGTGGTGCTCATGAAAGCCTTGGCCAATGGGAATGCCTCTTTACCCGACCACTGGGCATTCTCATTGCTGAGCTGCTTCCCCAACGTGGAGATCCGGCCCCTGCACTTGCCAGAGCTTTTCTCAGGGACGCCTCTGGCAAAGTGGTACTTACAGGCTCAGCAGCGCTGGGAGCCTTATTTCTTACCCGTCCTGTCTGACGCCTGCAGAATTGCCATCATGTGGAAATTCGGTGGCATCTACCTGGACACAGACTTCATTGTGCTTAGGAACTTGAAGAACCTCACCAATGCCCTGGGTATCCAGTCCAAGTATGTACTGAACGGGGCCTTTCTGTCCTTTAAGCCCAAGCACAAGTTCATGGAACTCTGCATGAAGGACTTTGTGGAGAATTACAACAGCTGGATCTGGGGGCACCAGGGCCCACAGCTCCTAACGCGTGTCTTCAAGAAGTGGTGCTCCATCAGGAGTCTTCGGAGCAGTACAAGTTGCAAAGGAGTGAGTGCTCTGCCCCGTGAGGCCTTTTATCCTATTCGGTGGCAGGACTGGAAGAAATACTTTGAAGTGGTCAACTCCTCAGAGCTTCGCCACCTCTTTAATAACACCTATGCAGTGCATGTATGGAACAAGAAGAGCCAAGGTACGAGGCTAGAGATCACGTCCCAGGCTTTGCTGGCGCAGCTGCATTCTCACTTCTGCCCTGCCACCTACGATATCATGAAGAAGGACTCTGAACGGCAGTGACTCAAGGGTCAGCTAAGAGATGTGGCCTGGTACCCCACAGCTCTTCAGCTGTTCCATCATAAATGAACCTTCTTTTGAAGTGAGGTGGTGAGAGTTGAGGACAAAAGCCATTTGTGGGGTGTAGGTGAAGCTGTAGCTTCAGCCAAAGTCTGTGCAGCTCTTTGTCTTGACTTTAACGGCCTACCAGCAACGTTTTCTTTCTCTGCAGGACCTTTCTGCTGCTCTGATTGGTCACAAAGAGAAATCTCAGGAGGGGAGCAAGTGCTGGGCTAATTGAGGCATCTTCCATCAGCCTTTCAGAGGAGTAAGGCCACTTTCCATGGCTGTAAACCTGGAAGAGGCTTTTGTAGAAATGCTTATCTCATTGCCTGACTCTCAGGACTTCCGAAGTGCAGTCCTCAAAGCAACAAAAGAATGGGACAGCCAGGAACAGGAACTGAGGAGAAAGTTAAAAGATATGCTAGAGGAGGTGTCCTGAGAAAAATGTAGAGGAAAAGAGAGAAGAAAGAAAGGGCTAAAGCAACTTCTTTTTTCTTTTCACGCCCTTCTCTTCTGAAGCCTTTAGTGGAGGAGACTTTCTCATGTCTGGTTTGAGCAGCGAGCAGGATGCTGCGGTCTCTGATGTCATAGATCTAAAGACATGGAAATTTTGTGGAAATCAGAACACGAGGAATCTGAGATCAGCTCATCGTTTAGATGGAGCTCTTGCACAGCAATGGTTTATTTTGTAATAATGGCAAATTAACACCCTGTGATGAGCTGGAGAGCTCATCCTAATTGCACCTTAAATTGTACCTGACATGGGAAGACTTGAACTGTCTTCCACACTGAATTTGTCTCTGTGACCAAATGTCCCTGACTGAGTCTAAGATGCACTAGATCTTTCAGCCCTTGGATGGTACCTAAAGGAAAGGCATGATATTTCCAAGTATTTCCAAGGTCACTGAGAGCTTGGTAGGGAACCTGTACTGTCTAAATTCATGTCCATTTATGAGACATGTATGGTGGACCTCTTCAAGTGGCCTGGAATACTCCTGCAATTAACTGTCCAGGAATATAAATCTCTCCTGGGAGGTCTTGAGGAGATCAGTGGAAAGCTTTACTTTTCTCCCTGAGCATCTTCCTGAGTTGCAGTGGAGAAAGTTAGCCTATCTCTCACAAGATGCTGTTGTGCCCTTGGGGGTTCCCAGCACAGAGGCCAGTTTGTTGGACAAGCTGTGGGAGAAAACTCATCCCTTGCCTGGATGGCCAAAATGATGTTAATGCTCTTACAGTTCTTGTCAGAAACTAATGGATAAAGCGCAGTGAGAAACAAGAAATAAGGTTGAGACCATCAGCATCGTTACAGCTGGTCCCCACCACACACTAAAGGGGAACACTGAACACATGGGCTTGGCACTGTGATAGTGTTAATGCAGATGAGCAGGGCTTTGGCCATCCCCTCTCCTACACTACTAAGAGATTATGATCTCACTGTAAAATCTTTTCTGCCTCCACTATGCCTCCTCTTCTTAGGCCTCGGAACAGCAGTGAGGTGGTACAATGGCCCCTCTGACGGTCATGAGTTGGTCAGATCTTCAGTGTCACCTGGCCCCAAAGTGACAGCTCTTTCATATGGTGCTTCCTGCAAGCCCTCTGAGTGTGACTCAATTTCTAGATGTGCAGTTGTCTGAAGCCTCTTCTGTTGCCCAGGTCAACCATAAGCAATGTGAGATTTGCTCAGTTTAGCCAAGGCGATGGTAAAAAATGTAAAAGACTGCGCATGCAACATTCCTGTGTTTGTCTCAGATCTATTTGTCTCCTCTCTGGCGATAAAAAAGCTTTTATTGAAAGCTACCTGCCTGTGAGTTGGGCAGGGTGTGAGGTCTGTGCAAGAGTAGCTACTCTGGAACGAAGGTGCTGGAAATACCCCTCCAATGGCTGGCACCACGAGTATGTAGTTCTGCCCCTTTGTTCTGCTCAGCTTTATGGTATATCCTGGAGGGATTCAGGATTTTGAATGTTCACAGCTCTCCCAGCACTGAACATATTTAACTAAGACTTTGTGGGGAAACAGCAAATATTCCTGACTGTATAAGCATTCTTCAACACGCTAAGTGGTATAAATGGATGCGGTTTTCACTCCCTACTCTTACTGTCGCTACTCTGTGGGCTTTGTTCTTTTTCACTGCTTTCTTTAGAAGCAGCCACAAAATTGTCAGCCCTGGCCTAGTGTGTGGTAGGTGAGGCATTGGCTTCTCCTTCTACTGATTCCTTCTGGTTTGGGTGCTTTGGGCTAAACAACAGAAATCTTAAGTGAGCTAGGAAGCCTTAACAAAGTTGGTAAAATAGTAGTTGGTGATTGTGAAGGGATACTCTACTGTGGCAATACCACGAACTCATCATGGGGGTGTTTGGGACCCACTGCAATGAATATCTGGCTTGATACAGCACTGCTTATTCTAGGAAAGTGCCTTTTTGGGTAAGTGGAGTGGGGTGTGGTTTTTTGTTGTTTTGGGGTTTTTTTTCCCCCTGAAGAGTCAATGTTCTGCAATTTGCTAAGGAGAGAATCACCAAAACAGCCTTTGGCCTTTTTCCCTGTGTCTGTGAAAGAAAAATAAATAGAGTTTTTACTATTACTTCTGTCTGCCAAGATGTTCCATTTTATTCTGCGAGGTGTCGGTGATAGGTCTGAGCAATCTGTTAGTTATTAGGCAGAAAAGCATTTTAAAGTTGTATCCTGAAGTGACTCACTAAAGTTAGGCGCGTGGAATGAACACGAGACAAGTTGAGTGTGAGCACACGTGGAAGGAAGGCTCTGTGGACCATGACTGCGTGCCATCTCAGGGACGTGAGCGGACGGAACAGAGGAAAGCACAGTGTGTGGTACCGATTCCTAATCCAACCAGCTGTCGCCCCACCGTTCGTGACCTGCAGTCTGTCTGAAGCAAGGCCTTTTAGTCTCACTCTGAAGGTCTGGATGTTACGGAATAGGAAACTCCATGAGAAATTGTGTTGTTTTCTCGCTGGGTGATGGGCTGCAGCCTCCCTTAGTAGTCACAGTGTCTGTGCTCTCATAGACCTAAAAGTGGAAAGCTTGTGCTGCAGCCATTCATTTTTCCCACCTGCCTTTCACAGCCTGATCTAATGACCCTGGAGTCCAGGGGAGCGTTTTGGGAAGCTGTGAAAGGGCTGGTGGGGTCTTGTGTGCAGAGGAGTTTCATTGTGACTCCTGGAGTCAAGAGCCAGGGAAACAGTTTTCCCCTGAGATGTAAAACAGCCGCCTGTGCTTTCTTCATTGCTGATAGGCAGTCAAGGATGATGGGAAGTGGTGAGAAGGCTCTAGGTGTTTCTTGCCCTGTCTCCTTTGTCCTTGAGCTCATGAAGGTTAGCTGACACACAGGTGTGCAGTACATCAAGGAGAGAAGCTACTGAAGGAGGGGAGGGGGATTTGTGAGAGTGGCTTCGTGGTATTTTGCTAGCCGGAGTTAAACCACGACAGGGGTGGAGATGCAGAATTGGACAGGGCAACTGAAGAGAGTAAGAAAGGATCAGCAGGGTAATCCGTGAGCTGGTCTCCTGGGAAGAAATGATGATGATGATTTTCTCTGTGCTGGCTGAGAGCACTCCTATGCCAGGAGCTCTTGTGTTGGTGGGCATCTAGGATGCGCAGTAAGTAGTAATGCTCTGTGGGGCTCTTTTCCCCCTGTTCTCCTCCATGTTTCTTCTCCCTCCCTCCCAAATGTGTAGTCCAGGAATGCTGTGTGCGAAGCAGGTTAAAAGACCTTCTTGGGAGAAAGTGCATTAATCATATACATGCTGGGAACTGTGTTCTGGTTTTGTCCTGGTACTGGTTTGTCCTCAGCAGGAGAGAAGAGGAGTAACAAAGCTCCCCACATGCTCTGTTTGGATATGCCATTTGTGAACACTGGCACTCTGGCCTTTCTCACGTACTTCACGTTCATCTCTCTCAAGTATTTGTGACCGTTCCCTGTGCGCATTTGGCTTGTGGTCTCTCTGGTACCTTCTTTGCAGCCATGCCTGGAACTCAGATGGATAGGCATAGTCCGGAAGAGAAAACTACAGGAGGAAATCACTTCAGCTGCATCCTGCCATTACAGCTCGGGCTGAGATCTTGACCTTTAGATTTGTTTATAACGATGGAGCCGAATAGCAGCTGTCATGGCTCTGCAGTACGTTGGTAGAGGTATAAGACGTCAAAGTACTCTTCAGAAAGTGGAATCTATGCCCAGGGGGAAAATTCTGCAGGTGCATAAAGTCTGGCAAGTTAAATATGAAAACACCAATAGGCTATAGAAAACATTGTTTGAAAACCGATTAACAAAAGGTTAAAGCTACCAACGCTGTTATTTTATTTTTCTTTTCCCAACTGCAGAAGGAACAGGAAGCCTGCCAGAGAGGCTAGGAGATGAGAAATTGAAAGGGAGTTCAGAGGTCAGTTTGAAGCAAATCAAAACTAATTTTGCAAGAGGAACTTGGGGATGTTTCACTACACTGTAATCCCTCCTTGCGGGAGGAAGCAGAAGTCACTCCTGTCTTGCATGTTTTCAAGCAGTGCAAGAAAAAGGATCCAGGGAACTACAAGCCAGCCAGTGTCACCTTGACCCCTGGGAAGAGCATGGAGCAAATCCTCCTGGAAGTCACGTGCAAACATATTCCAGACAAGAAGGTGATTAGGACTAGTCAACACAGATTTACAAAGGGGAAGCCATGCCTGGCTAAACCGATACCCTTCTATGATGAAACAACCCGCTCAGTGGACAGGAGAAGAGCATTGGATATTTTTTATTATGCCTTTATTAAGTCTCCGTAACAGCCTCGTAGACATTCTGATGAAACGTGGACCACATACACACAGTGATGTGGATTTGAAAACTGACAGAACTTCTGGACTTGAAGGATTGTGATGAGTGACACAAAGTCCAGGTGAAGGCCAGTAACTAGTGGTACACTCAGGGATCTGTGCTGGGGCCAGTACTATTTAACATCTTTATTAATGA